GTATTGGTCAAGAATTCTATAAAATGTTCTGCAACTTGGGTTTTTTGAAGTTTATCCCATGATTAGATGGGAGTTATGGATTTTTGGAAAGAAGATCTCAGAGGTAAGGTGCCATTCCCATGACGTCATATCAAGGGTGCGAACTATCGACATGGTTTATCACTGTGGATGGTGATCTGGATCCCCTGGCTGAGGTGGTGTGTGACCAGTTTCTCCACTGTAAAGTAACTTTTCCCCCCATTCCCATGCTGTCCTCTTTGGAAGGAAGTCACTATGTGTGGCCCACACTTAAGGAGGAGGAGTTATACTCCACGATAAAATATTTGGAATTTTTATACATGGGAGATCTGTCGATTCTCCCCATGTATTTACTTAGTCAGTCACTCATTTATGTGAGTATGGAGTCATGGATATTCACTGTATACTTTGAATCATAACCCACTACTACCTTCTTTATCTGCTGCTTGTGTTGCTCCAGGTTTGGCCATTGAAAGCTCTTTCAGTTGACTCCCGTGTCCCTATGACCTACCACTCTCCCTTTTCTAGGTTACCTTACTTTTGGTTCATTCTTTATATTAAGCAATGAGATAGAAATTTCAGAATGCTGAGTCAAAGGATATTCCTACTGATGATTTACCCTCTTACCAAAAGGATATTTTTTAAAAGTCATATACCACCCACAGTTGCATGAGATTCCTTCTTTGTTCAAAAGTCCCAGAAGTTGTTTTACAGGTTGAATGAATATGTAAGGTTTTTCCTGCAACCAGCTGACTTATTCTAATCCCTTTAATTGCTTCACCTGGGCAGAAATTATAGGCAGAGGTAACAGCCAACTATATTATTTCATTGGCGGTGGGTTCAATGGACAGATCCCCCTCTAATAAATATTAAAATAGTGAGCAAGTATTAAGGCTAGGCTCATTATGAAGTTTACATGAACAGTAAACAGTGTCTGCTATCTAAGTCTTAGCTGCCGTCATCCTCTTTCTCATCATCATCATTGTCATTTTCCTCGGGAAGGATCACACGGATCTTTGTGTAATTTACTTAGAGAACACAGCGGGGAAAATGACTTACTGATCCTGTTTATTTTCCCCCACCAATATCGTTATCTGTATGTTGGGCATTGAAGGGCTGTAAGCCTGTAAAGGAGGATTTAGCCAAGGTTCTTCCAGAGCCTGTTGACAGCCTTTGGAGACTGTCACCACCAGCCTTTCCATCACAAGCTGTACCTTCCTAGAGATACCACTCCTAGAGAGACCACCAGGGGAACCCTTGGTGCCTGACCTGGGAGAACAGGCAGAGTGGCCGCAGCCCTCTTCACACTTGGCAGATGAGGAAACCCTGCCATAGTCACGGTGACTGAGTCACAGGAAGTTTCCCATCTGCTCTGCCCCACCACTGAAGTTTCTTTTAAATTATTTTTATAATACTTAGTATGGTATTGCTACATGATGAGCCTTTTAATTCTTTCAAATGTTAACTCAAATTAAGATGAACTATCTATTGTTAATTGCTGCTTCTGATTCATACAGGATCTCTAGCAAGAGCCCCAGACTCTGCGCACATACAGCCTTGGGTAGCCAACATGCTCACTTTTGGCCTGTCTCCTTTTAAATTCATTGCAATTAATTTAAATTCATTTCCGCACATCCCACTGTGCCCTCAATACTGCTCAGCAGCCACATTCCATTCCCCCATGGCCTCCCACCCTCCTAGTTCATTAACCCACCCTCCTCCACCCTCACACACAGCTTCCAGCATCACTGAGAAATTAGAAGCCATTGCAAAAGGCCTTCTGTAAGCTCCCACCTCCACATCCATCCAAATCCAGAGCCTCATATTCCTCCTTCCTTCCTACTGCAGTAGATGAAAAGTCCTTGTTTCTTTCTAAGGCCATAGCCCAGTTCATTAAATCTCATCCTCTCTCACCTGTTCAGAGTCTCAATGCCAGCAGTTCTCCACACACTCCCCCGTATCATTAATTTTTCCCTCTCTACTGGGCTATTTCCACCAGCATTAGAACATATTTCCCCCTTCTCAAAAGCAACAACAAAAAATCTTTTAAAAATTAAAAAAAAATAGGGCTTCTGTGGTGGCGCAGTGGTTAAGAATCCACCTGCCAATGCAGGGGACATGGGTTTGAGCCCTGGTGCAGGAAGATCCCACATGCTGCGGAGCAACTAAGCCTGTGCACCACAACGACTGAGCCTGCGCTCTAGAGCCCGCGAGCCACAACTACTGAGCCCACCTGCCACAACTACTGAAGCCCGCGTGCCTAGAGCCCATGCTCCGCAACAAGAGAAGCCACTGCAATGAGAAGCCCGCGCACTGCAATCAAGAGTAGCCCCGCGGCTCATTGCAAGCAGAGAAAGCCCGCGGGCAGCAACAAAGACCCAACGCAGACAAAAATAAAAATGAAATAAATAAATTTTTTAAAAAAGTAATTGTGATAAAAACCACATGGCATAAAATTTATCATCATAACCATTTCTAAGTGTACAGTACAGTAGTTTAAGTATATTCACATCGCTGTGCATCCAACTTCCAGAACGTTTTCACCTTGCAAAACTGAAACTCTATACCCATTAAACAATGACTCTCCCTTTCCCCCTCCCTCCATCCCTTAGCAGCCACCATTCTTCTTTCTGTTTAAGTGCATTTGACTACTCTAGGTCCCTCATATAAGTGGAATCATACAGCTGTTGACTTTTTGTACCTGGCTTATTTCACTTAGCATAATGTCCTCAAGTTTCATCCATGTCGTAGCATGTGTCAGAATTTTCTTCCTTTTTAAGGCTGAATAATATTTCCTTGTATGTATATACCACATTTTGTTTATCCATTCATCTGCTGATAGACATTTGTTGTTGCTTCTACAATGACTATTATGAATAATACTGCTATGAACATGAGTGTACAAATATCTCTTGGAGACACTGCTTTTAATTCTTTGAGAAGTGGAACTTCTGGGTAATTCTATTTTTAATTTTTTGAGGAATGCACCATTTTACATTCCCACCAATAGTGCACAAGCGTTGTATTTTCTCCACATCCTCATCAACATGTGTTATTTTTAATTTAAATCTTATTTTTTTTATAGTAGCCATCCTAATGGGTGTGAGGTGGTATCTCATTGTGGGGCAAAAATCTTTCAATCCTACTTTTCCTGCTGCTGTGGCTAATTGGCCACTCCTTTTTAAGACAAGACTCCTTGCAAGAGTTGGCTTTACTTCCTGATCCAGTGCCTCTCTTCCCACTATTTCTTAAGCTTATTCCAATCAGGTTCTCATCTCACCTACTGCACCACAGCCTCTTATGTCAAAAAGTTGCTATGTGGCCACTTCTGGTCCTCCACGTCTGACCGAGCATTTGACATGGTTGGTCACTCTCTTCTCAATGAGACACTTTCTTCATCTTGTCCCCGCAGTGCCATGCTCTCCTGCTTTTCTTTCTACCCCACTGGATAGAGTTCCTGGTTTCTTTTGCTGGTCACCCCTCTCTCTCTGACTTCTTCATGTTGGAGTCCTTCAGGGCTCAATGAATGGATCCTCCTCTTCTCCACCTACCCTCAATTCTCTGATGATCTCATTCATTATCATGGCCTTAAATATCAACTCGCTACTTATGATTCCAAAATTAGATCTCCATTTAGACTTTCCCCCAGAACTCCGTAGTCCAGTATACATACCTGCCTACTTAGCATCTCTTCTTGGATCTAAGCATCTTAAACCTGACATGTCCAAAATCAACCCGACCTTCCCTCGTTGTCTCCACTCTCCCCTCCTCCTTCCCCCACCTGCAAACTCCCTGGCCCAAACCCTCGGAGTCATCCTTGACTTCTTTCTTTTTCTCTCACACACTACATCCAGTGTGTCAGAACGTCCTTCTGGTTCCTCCTTCAAAATCTGTCCAGAATCTGTCCCCTTCTCTTCACCTCCACTGCTCTCACCCTGATCCAACCTACCATCGTCGCTCATCTACTCTAGATTAGTGGTCCTCTCACTTTTGCTCCTTTCGTCTCTTCTCAACACAACAGTCAGAAAGACTGTTAAAAATGTCAGTTTAGATTCTGTAGTTTCTCTGCTCAGAAGAGCTCAGAGCAAAAGTCAAAGAACTTACAGTGTCTTGCAAAGCCCCGTGGTTTTACCACCTCTCCAGTCTCACTCTTGCCACCTTAATGTGGCACAAACACTCCAGGCATGCTCTGCCTCAGGACCTTTGCAGTTGGTATTCTCATTCACTGGAATGTTTTTCCCTTAAACACTGGTATGACTTAAATGAATGAATGTAGAATGGTTGGATAACTAGCAGTAGGAATACTATTTCTCCATGACTACTATTATTATTACATCCTAAAAATCCAGGAATCAAGTTAGGATATGGATGGGGATTTCATATACATTAACAACAGAATGTACACCCTTGCTACTCAAAGTGTGGTCCATAGACCAGCAGCATCAGCCTTTGATGGTCTCTACTGCAGGAAATAAACCCTGAGAAGCATGTCACCTTTTGGAAGAATGGCTCCTGCTGTCTCTTCTAGCAGGACCCAGTGATCTTTGTGAACAGAAAACTCAGCAGAGTGAGCAAAGCTTCAGGATTGGTCACTGGGTGGCTGTCAGGAAAGACCTGTCCACAGGAACCTCAGGAGCACAGGGGCTCAGGCTGGGAACTGTCCCCCACCCTGCATCCTGCACTCAGGAGGCTTATAGGCTGCAATTCCTCACACCTCTGTGTGTCCCACACCCTCTGCCTGACACAGTCATTTCCTGGGTGGCTCCACTGTAAGGACGGGGTGCAGAGCTGACCTCTAGGTGTGACCCAAACTTGAATCTTGATCATGAACTTGAATCTGAAGTTCAGCCCCCAAAGCTGCACAATAGAAAGGTGTGGAAGAATGACAGAGTAGCAGTGGTTAACTGAGCCCAGGAAGGATCCTGGGAAAGTGCAGAGAGCATCTCCAGATTTTCATTGACTCCCTGGGTTCTCTCTTGCAGCTCAAGTCTCGGGTTCTCATGACGCCTTTAGCCCTCTCACCCCCGCGGAGCACGCCGGAGCCCGACCTCAGCTCCATCCCTCAGGATGCAGCCACCATACCCAGCTTGGCAGCGCCACAGGCTCTCACAGGTAGGTGAGGCGAATGAACTCCAAGGCTGGGATGGCCTGCCTGCCAGCTAAAGTTACTTTGTGAACTAGAGAGCTGCCACTGAGGTCGCTCAAATGAAGGATTCAGTGTGTCAGTTGGACAGTAGATAGGATGACCAAATTCTCTGAGAACAGGAGTATAGTGTCTCACAGCTTGGATTATTTAAAATTGATTTTCAGTACATCTTGGGTTCAGCTGGTTGCTGTGGGTGGGTGGAGGCTAGAAAGAGTGGTTGGCGGCCCAGACTATCTTCAGAGCCGTGTTTACCTTGCACCAACAGCGAACCTGCTCACCTTGAAGAGTTTCTATCCCTGTGTTTGTACTTCCAGATCTCCTAAGGATCCTAATGCCCCTCAATCCCACCCAGTGCCTTCCAGTCCAGTTCAGGGTGGAGCTCGGCCCAGTCTCCCTCATGGGGCATCCACCAACCAACAGTTCCATCTTAAAAGTAACAGCAGTCGGATGGTGTCTCTCTCTCTCTCTCTCACATACACACACACACACACACACACACACACACACACACACATCCATAGTTCCCCCTCATCACAAACCATCCACAGCCCCATCCCACTTAAATCCCTCAGGGCCTTCCTAATGCTGTTAGGTAAAGACCAAATTTTGTAGTATGGCCAATAAGGCCCTGCTCTTAGTTTTTAGGGCCCATCATAGGATCATAGCATATTCTCTTTCCTTCTTCTGGAATGATCTTTCCTCTAGGGTCAACCTATTCCTCCCTTGCACCTCAGCTCAGGTACCTCCCTCCAGAAAGTGTTCACTAACTTTCCTGCCAAGGTTCCCAGGACGGGCTCTCCTAGCATCTCCCTAATGTTTCTTGCAGCCAAGGTCCCACATCACTTCCTGTGATTCTCTGAGTAGGTCTGTCTCCCCTTCTGGGCCCTAAGTTCTCTGAAGTCAGGGACTGTGTAGATTTTCTCTGTAGGGCCTAGCACACTGCCTGGCATGAAGGTCCCTTAGCAATTAGATTTTCCTTAATCATGTGGGATTAGTTGAAGAAGGAAGCCTGGTAGAGTGAAAAGAGCACAGGCCATGACATCAGAAAGATGTTAGTTAAAATCCCTATTGCACCATTAATTACACTTTCTGAGCAGCCACTAACCACTTTTAACCTCAGTTTCTTCTTTAGTAGAGGAAGTAATAATATTTAATTCTCAGGCTTATCTTGAGAATCAAACAAGATAAAGGATATACAGTGCCTGGAATATAGTAGGTGCTCAATAAAAACTAATTTTCTTCAACTTTGTTGTTACTGTTTAATCCTTCCAAAGTACTAATGGTCTCCTCTTACAGTCCCTCTTTAATGCTTCTCTGCACTAGTGGCCCCCAGGGTAAGATGCTCATACCTGGGCTGGGGGCAGGGGGAGACATAAGAGGAGCCATTAACATGTGGAAGAAAATATGACACCTACTATTAATATTTCTTTTTATCTCATCCTTTAAAATTTTCTATTTTTTGGTTACATCTTTAAAATGTATGTAATACATTAATACGGTTGAGAATGTATATAATCTATAAATAAATAAACACATGTTAGGGCATGTGGTAAAAATTTTTTTACCAATGGGGTTTATTACTTTAAAAGTGTGGGGACCATTGGTTGGGCTCACCTAAATGGACTGCTGAGTGTTCATTATCCTGAGATTGTAAGTAGAATCCTCTTTAGAATTTCACCGAATATATAGTCTTTGGAGTAATTAGCAACATGTTGATTTTTTTTAATTACTGAAGGTTAACAAAAAAAATGGCAAACATTATATATAGCTTGATAGCTTCCTGGGAGGAGAAGGGAAGATTTTGTGTATGTTCCCAGCACATAAATACATTTATATACATGGTCCACAATTGTCTATAATTGTCTACAATTCAGATTTCAGTACATCGGAGAGGACATGCCTATTTCTTCCCAACCGGGAGGCCTTTCTGAGAGCAAGCCCTGGCAGCTGGAGGTGATTGACTCTATTGCCTCTTTTACTTCTTAAGTTGGGAAGAACTGGTCCCACTTTGGCCTTTGCTTTCCCAAGACCAGGGCCAAGGGGACATGGCTGAGGCCTCCCCAGTGTGCACGGGAGCCGCCCCTGGCCTGATGTGCTTCGATGCTGAGAGCTTTGTGGGTCTGTTTCCACAGTCTGCCTCTACATCAACAAGCAAGCCAACGCAGGGCCGTACCTGGAGAGGAGGAAGGTACAGCAGCTCCCCGAGCACTTTGGGCCCGAGAGGCCGTCGGCTGTCCTGCAGCAGGCCGTGCAAGCATGCATCGACTGTGCCCACCAGCAGAAGCTGGTCTTCTCCCTGGTCAAGCAGGGCTACGGTGGTGAGATGGTGTCAGGTAAAGCCCTGGAGCAGGCTGTATGAGGAGGGCCATGGGTGTGTCTCCAAAGAGGAAAATAGCTGTAATCAGGCTTGGGGGACTGTGGCCAGGGTCTGTCCCCATCTTCTGGGCTCCAGGGTCCTTAAATGAGCCTGTGTGCCGAAGGTGTCTCTTGGGGCTTGAGGAGAAGATACTTCCAGATCTGGATAAGAAGACTGGACATCTGAATCCTCTCCCTTGACTTGCCTCTTTCACCTCCCACTTACAATCCATCAATAAATCCTATTGTTCTAACTGCAGAATATATCCAGAATCCTTTCAGAATCAACTTCAAAATATCTCCAGAATCCTTTCACGATTCTGGTTCTTTCAAAATCTAAGTCAGATCATGCCCCTCCTTTTCTCCAAACCCTCAATGGCTCCCATGTCACTCTGAGAAAAAGCCCACATCCTTACAAGGGCCTCCAAGTCCTATGTGACCTGGTCCTGGGAACTTCCTTGATCTACTGGCCACTTCTATTGAGTCCCAAACTCTGCTCTGGCCACAGTGGCTTCATTCCTGTGTCCTCCAACCATGCTCCTCCTGCCTCAGGGCCTTTGCACCTGCTGTTCTCTCTTTATGGAATGCTCTTTCCCCAACTGTCCACGTGACTTGCTCCTGGAGTTCCTTCAGATTCCTACTCAAATGCCACCTTATCAAAAAGCCCTTCCCTGACCATATGTCTAACACATCAGCCCTTGTCACTATTTATTCTCCCTTCCTCTGCTTTATTCCTTATTCATAGCACTTAACACCATGCAGGAAGTGGAGAAAGTTCATGGTCTAAACCCCACCTCACAGGACATTTTTTTTTTTAAACAAGAGCCTTCAGGGTCAATCCCATCTCCCATTGTCACCACCCTCCTCCAGTTTCCACCCCAACCAACAGCATCCAGAGGGAGTGGAAACTGTCACCACAAGTCTGAGGCAGAATTGGGAGCTCTGCCCCCTTCAAATGTTTCCCCTCAGAGGCTCTGTCTGTCTTACCCGAGGCTCTCCACATGCACAGTGGTTGTTACCACCTGCCCTTAAGCCCTGGAGCTCCAGGCCTTTGCAAGATGCTTTGACTCCAGGGGGACAGCCTGGTGTCTTCTCTAGCCCAGCATCATAGACACAGCCTCCATATCACCAGGGAAAAGGGATACAATTCCCCAGCCACAGGGCAGTGCAGGTGACCCTGCTGGCTGACTAAGAAAGGGTCGGGGAGAGGGGACTTTAATGTGGCTACACCCTGAAAAACCAAAGCATAAGTGTTTTATTTAACTCCAGATTGATCCCGAGGGCTTGCAGATGGGGAGATTTTTCCAACACAGCTTTACCAGCTCTGATTGATTCAGCCCTCCTTCTGGAGCTCCCTGTGAGCAGGAAGCTGGGTCTGACTTGCTGGTAATTGATTAAAATAGAACTTGGCAAGGTCTGGGTGCATGTGTCTGACCCAGGGTGACTTTTAAGAGACTTCAGCAGATGTGCGCAGAGACAGGACAAAGAAGTACTGCACCAAAGAGGCCAGGAGGAGAGTCCTGCTGTCAGGCCTCTGAGAGATCCTTGGCTGTTCTCTCTGAGAGCCAGGTTCTTGATCCTGGACTGCCCTCTGAGGTTGAAGGCCTTGTCCTTTTCCTTGCTAAACAGCAGGGCTCAAGACGCAGACCCAGTGCTAAGAGAAAGATCCTCCTGTACCGTGTGTCCCCACTCTTGAGCAAATCCCGTCTGAGTTCTTTGTGGCCCCTGCCCCCCAAGCTGGGAGAGCTGACCCCGTTCTCCCTGCTCTCCTGCTCGGCTTTTCTGCGGCCTCAGGGGCCTCGGTGCTGGGGAGGAGGCTCTGCAGTGCCTGGCACCAATGCATGAGCGGGCAGAGCCCTGCCAAGTTTCCCTTGGCTGAAGCATTCCCAGGAAGGCTGGAGCTGAGGACTTGGTCATGGAGAATGCAGTAGTGCTGAGGGGCCTCCTCATGCCACCTCCTTAGGTTGTGAGGTGGCAAGGTGGGCATTCACGTTTCTGGTGGTGATGTGGCAGCCCAACAAGGTGGTGCTAGCCCCAAGGTGGTTTAGGGAGGGACTCAGGAGGAATAGTCAGACTCTCCCACTCTCCACCTAGAACCTGATCCTTAGGGCACTGCTTTCTAAACATCCCCATGGCACAACATGTAGAAAATGGTGAACACTGGTGCTGGCACCATGGGCTAAGGGAATTTAACCTGCTGTGGCTGGGCCTTGGGCCACCCCAAAGGCTGAGGGGGAATAGTGTCGCAGTACCCATGACCCATTCCTAGCACACCTGTTGGGACGCTCTGCCTTAGTCACACTCTCCCAGAGGGGTAGATTTTGTGATCTCACAAATTCCATGTCTGCTTCCAGGAGGTGGAATTTTCCTACTATGTGACCATCCAGGCACCTCTGGGAATGTATACACACTGATTTATGACACAGGCCTGATGACCCAGACCTTCCTGCTGTGGGTTCAGTTTCCAGCACACCTACTCTTTCAAGGTATCGGAGGCAAGCAGCAGTGCCCACCTAAGAGGGAATTTCCAGAGTGTTCGAGTGGCCAGGATGACCCCCTTACTGAGCATCTAAGCAGCTCTTTGCTGGCTCTCCTAATCTGGAGAGTCACCTGGAGTATTAAAGTGACAGGCAAGTGCCACTTATAGGCCTCATGAGCTGGAAAAAAAACGCTCTAGGCCTTCTCCTCAGTTTCCTCATCCATATTATGGAGTCATAACCTTTTCTCCACTGTCCTCACAGGACAGTCAGAAGGCCTAAATGAGGTGATAGGTGTGAAAGCTCTTGTCAAACTATAAAAAGCTACACAAAAGAAATAGATTGTTTTGATTTCTAATTTAAATGGGTGTGGAGTTTTTTTGTTGTTTGTTTTTTAGCTCTGAAATCAAAACTAGCTCTGGTCGCCCTGCCCCAGGCCTTACAGTGTGCTAGCCTTTGAGAGATATAGTATAAAAATCCAGGCTGCCTTCCAGGTGCTGGTGCTGAGGGCAGAGCCCAGGTGGCAGCAGAATGTCCTGCTGGGGATCTTCTCATGTGTTCTGCACCCGGGAGCTGCTGTGCGAGCTTCATGCAGCAGCAGAGGGCTGTGAGGAGGATTACAGAAAGAAACATGCTCTGCGCTGGAAGAACCAGGTGTTTCTTCTAAATTCTGGTCACCCTAGAGAAAATGAGTTTGATCTAGCATCGCTGTGGAGACATTATTGTTCTTTTATAAAGACTCCTCCCCTTTAGGCTGAATGAACCCTGAACACTGTGGTGCTGCGTTAAGAGCTGGAGGCCTCAGTATGAACTCAAGTTTATTTGAATATACCTATATGTCTAGATCTAGACATATCTATCTAGACCTACCTATTGATCTAGATCTATCTATCTAGAGTTGCTTAAAATAAATGAGAGTATGTCATAGGGACACAGGAGTCAGTCTGTAAGATCCCAAAGACAAAAATTGGAATAATTTAGCAATAAGATACATAATATAGTATTGGACAACCCACAACACAAAATAAATATATATTTTTAAAACTTTTATTTATTTATTTTTGGCCACACCATGTGGCCTGTGGAATCTTAGTTCCCCAACCAGGGACCAAACCCAGGCCCTCGGCAGTGAGAGGGCTGAGTCCCAACCACTGGACCGCCAGGGAATTCCCCCAGAATAAATATACTGAGTCTGCACTGATATTGATGAATAAACAAATAAATAAATGGAGGAAATGGGACAAGTCTTCCTTTATAGAAGAATTCCAAATGATATAGAGACTCTTCCCTCTCCAGGAGGTAGAGCTTAATCCCTCCACTGCCCTTAACTGTGGGTAGGACCTTGTGACTTATTTCCCAGGAACAGAATACAAAGAATACAGTGGAGGGCTTCCCTGGTGGCGCAGTGGTTGAGAGTCCACCTGCCGATGCAGGGAACACGGGTTCATGTCCCGGTCCAGGAAGATCCCACATGCCGCGGAGCGGCTGGGCCCGTGAGCCATGGCCGCTGAGCCTGCACGTCCGGAGCATGTGCTCCGCAACGGGAGAGGCCACAACAGTGAGAGGCCTGTGTACCGCAAAAAAAAAAAAAAGAATACAGTGGAGAAATGTGGCAAACTGTGTCTTGGCCAGGAGATAAAGGTTAACATCCCAGTGATGAACTGTGGCTGTCATGTACCACCCCCCACTGACTCTGTGGTCTTCCTCCTCGAAACCCCATAACCCCGGTAAAATCATAAGAAAAACATCAGACAAACCAGATCGCGGGACGTTTTTCAAAATACCTGACTAGTACTCTTCAAGACTGTCAAGATCATGAAAAACAAGAAAAGACTGTGAAACAGTCACAGACCCGAGGAGACCGAGTTCACACAACAGCTACACCCGATGTGGTCTCCTGAATGAGATCCTGGAACTGAAATAGGACATTAGTGTAAAAACAGGTGAAATCCCAATACAACTTAGTTGAAAACAAAACAAAACTGAACAAACCAGAACCTCTTCCCCAGGGCTGACGGGCTGACGGCTTTCTCCAGAGCGCCGCTCTAAGTCGCTGTCTCTGTGCTCTTCCAGTCTCCGCATCCTTTGACGGGAAGCAGCACCTGCGGAGTCTGCCCGTGGTGAACAGTATTGGGTACGTCCTCCGCTTCCTTGCCAAGCTGTGCCGAAGCCTCCTGTGTGACGACCTCTTCAGCCACCAGCCGTTCCCCAGGGGCACCAGCGCCTCCGAGGAAGCCCCTGAGAGCCAGGAAGACAGGATGGAGTCAGGTAGGGTTTGCCCGTCTGTCTTCCTGGGCCTGCAGGTGGTTCCAGGTGTCCCCGCCCTCCCGGAGCAGGTGAGGCTGCCACTAAGGGGGCTCCTGGGAGCTCTGCTGCTGGAAGCTCACGGGCTGCTCCTCTGGGCACCCGGGGAACAGTCAAGGCTGACCAGGTCCAAGGACACCCCGACGGTCCCTGCCCAGGCTGCAGTGGGAAGAGATGGCTCCAGCTACTGAGAGCTGACATTATAGCTTCTAGGCCTATGTTATTAGAATTTAGACAATGAGACCGCATCACATGCAATGAGTGATTTTTTTCCTCTCTTCTAATTAAGACTCTTGAGCATTTATTCATCATCGTTGAGTAATTGAAGGACTACTAGCCTAAGGAACAAAGAAATCCTGAAGAAACAAGGGCTAACGAATTGATTACGTTGGTCCTGTCTGGGGGCCTCAGATTCCTATCCAGGTCAATAAAATGTGTAACAGAGTGTCTATCGGGGCAGGAATTTGACCTGCCCTTAAATCACATATGTCCTTCATTGAGAGTGTTTCTCTCTCGTCACAGGATAGAAAGTGACCCAGGGGCTGAATGCCTTTTGTATCACCAGCCCCAGAATAGCTCAGCATAGGGAAGTGGCCAGTGGGAAGTGCAGCAAGGCCACATGGGCAAACTTGCCACACTGTTGTCTGCCCAATGGGCTGCTCCTTCCTTCCCCACTTAGCGGCCCTGAGTTATGGATTTGCAAGGAGTTGAACATGAGTCCAGGTTCTAGATTCCAGGTTCCCAAGGATGAGCAGGCATGTTGCCTTTTTTCTTTCTCTGGAAGCAGTGTTGTTGATACATAAAGAACACATAGACAGTGAAATGGAATCTAACCATTATGTCATTCTGCAAACACTTGCTGAACCTTTTCTGTTCCAAGCACCATGTGAGACCCTGTCTTGGAATAAGGCAAATATGTATGTGAGCTTAGGAAAGTTTTTGAGGTATTGAGTAACCAGTATGAATAATGAAAAACTTACATTTGCAGGTATGTGCTCACAGACAGGCTTAGAGCATTCAACAAAACGATACTTATAATAGGAGTGGCTGTGTTTTAAGCCTAGGAGGACATCAGGGAAGGATAAAGTTAGATTCTAAGCATAGATTTTTCTCACATCCTGTCAAGAGCCTTGTCTACAGTTTTACTTTAAACTCTCAGAGACCTGGGAAACAGGAAGAAATCTGGCCTTTACAAAGAAATGTACCTAATTAAATATAGTTTGTGTGAGCAGATGCTATATACTTCTGTGTTTTTCTTGATGCCTCTATATGTGTGAGCTTGGGAAAGTCTTCTCATGTCTCTGGGCCTCAGTTTCCTGTGTGAAATGATGGGCTGAGTTGCTCATGTATAATGTTCTGGTTCTGACAGTCAAGAATCTGGCCTCTCTTGTAAACCTTAGTTGACTCAGAAACATATTGTAAAGCTCACGTATCTTCCAGTGAATCTTGCAATGAAAATAGCAGATGGTGATCTGATTTCACTTCGCACACCCTAAAGTCATCGTTACATTGAACAAGCCATGACCCATGGACATAATCACAAAGCCCCATAATTCATGTCTCCCATTCTCCTTTAAATGAAAGTCTCCTGTGAGACCACTTCTTCCCTGTCCATGGATGAAATTTAGGGCCAATCTCGTGACTTTTCTGGCTCCTTTCAGATAACAAAACACTCTCTAGTAAATAATTAATATGTCCAGGTCAGTGTGATCATCCAACTTTAAATTTCACTCAAAGATGGAACTACTCCCCATTCCCAGCTCAGCCCTGCTTCAGGCCAGTTGCCTGCAGCAGTAAAGGAGGGCATGGTTGGCTTCTCTCCACCTCCTTCCCAACCCTATGTTTTTGCCCCTTCCTTATCTAGCTAATAATGATTCCCAATCCTTCCTGATCAGAGTGAGGGAAGGAGGAGACGCAAGAGGTAGGAGAGTTTTTACTTGACTAATCCCGCTGTGAGCTGGCATCAGCCTCCCTGGTTCTGGCAGGTGTTTCAAGCTGATTCTGCAGCCTGTGGGCTCTTGCATGGGTCCTTTGGTGATCCTACCATCTCTCATCTGCACGTTCCCTGACATGGACAAAGGTAACTCTTCTCTGGCTGGTCACTTACAGTTCTTCCCACAGCCTCAAGGCATCTGTGGGTACATCTCTAACTTCTTTCTGCTGAGGCCCCCTTGTGCCTCCAGACAGTCCTATGGAAAGGATCTAAGATAATCTCACTTCAGATCTCTCTTCTGATGGCCCGCATATGGTCCCTTAGAAACACCCTTTGCCCAAACAAACTCAGGGCGTGCAGGCTGATCTCAGCAGACACCTCTCCTTTGTCCTGCCATCACAGCAGCCAGACTTTTTGGTTTCTCATGGAAATCAAGCAGTAATCCATTGTGTCTCTTGAGCTCCAGGGACAGATATCAAGCTATTCACACGGCCACATCGAAGCTCTTGGATCACATGGGGCAGTTCTCTCCACAATTCATCTTCTATTCAACCTGCTTTTCAACCTCTACAATTTCTTTTGCAGGCTGCATGTGGGTGGTCATCTACACAGGTAAAACTGGCTTCCCACCACCTCTTTTTGCTAGAGCGTCACTCTTCACTCTGCTATGGGGAGACTATTGTCTTGCAGCTTCAGCAAAACTGAAACTAAAATAGTTTCATTTTAACTTCCTGTCCCAGGAACCCCCCTTCAGCTTTCCTTAAGTGATCACTGAGGAAACCTTTGCCTTGGTTTCCTCCTTATTCTTTCTCCTTCCAAGCTCACCATGCTGAGTGAAGTTCCTGTCTTTTTCCTGGGAAAAGTGTAGTGCAGCCGCCACACTTCTTCCCTTGGCTGAGGCCGGTATTTCTGCCTGCAAGCTGGTTTCTTTCCTAGTTGGCTTGGCTTTGGAAGTAATGACTCCAGTTGTCTTCATGAGCCCTTCCCTAGCCTGTGGCTGCTTTGAAAAAATGAATTGCTCCAGTTCTTGTGGAAATTGTTCCCCGTGCCCTGGGTGCTACAGAACCAAGCGCTGCGTGTTTCTTGCGTCTGGGGCCCCAGGGAGGGTGGCGGAAGCAGCTACGGCACAGTAAGCTTTGAGCAGCCGCCTGGCACACATCTCTCCCACCTGTTTGCCATGGAGCCTAGGATGACACCACTAAAGAGTTTGCCTTTAGGGCTTCCCTGGTGGCGCAGTGGTTGAGCGTCCGCCTGCCGATGCAGGGGATGCGGGTTCGTGCCCCGGTCTGGGAAGATCCCACATGCCGCGGAGCGGCTGGGCCCGTGAGCCATGGCCGCCGAGCCTGCCCGTCCGGAGCCTGTGCTCCGCAACGGGAGAGGCCACAACAGCGAGAGGCCCGCGTACCGCAAAAAAAAAAAAAAAAAGAGTTTGCCTTTAGACTAAGACATTGCCTCTTTAGGATTGCCTTGTCAAAGTTCCCTTAAAGGATAACATATCAAGTTATTATTACCTTGGATGAGGAATTAGTTTATTACCCACTTTCCCATGATTGTGGCAAGAAAGGCAGGTGTACATATAAGCGAAGGGATGGAGGTCTTCATTGACTTTAGGCTTCATATCCATCCATAGGACCACATCATTCCTAAACAAGATCGTACAGTCTTGAACTCATTTGAACCAGATCCTGCTCTGCCCCAAGGTTGTTCAGTCAAAGCTGGAGTGTTCCAGGTTTGGTGCCACACAGTTAGAGGGTTTGTCAACACTCATTAGGACATTTCCAAAAGACAGTTAATCAGACAATAAGGAAATGCAAAGCCATGACACATAAGGAACTATATTAAAAAAATGGATGATTTGGGGAAGACACAATTTTCTGTTCCAGGATATGACAGCAGGTCATGTGGATTTGTTCTCTGTGGCCCTGAAGATAGATTTAATTAAACCTCACGTCTTGCCACTCAAACTCGGGTCAGGAGCACTGTCGTAACCTGAGAAAGGAAAAGCTCAGTGGCTCTCCCTCACTCCTTCACAACAGATCCCAGGTGTTTTGAAGACACTTAAAGTTGGAGAAGCCTGGGTTTCAGGAATACTCTCCCACGTAGAGGACTTGGCAGCTGAATAACCAGGTGGAACTCTCAGAAGACAGCTCCCTCAGGATTCAGGTGGGGTTGACATTGTAAAGAACTTTGAAAAGCCAAAGCCATTCAGAAGTAGAAGGAGCTGCTTGGATGGAGAGATCTCCTCATTACTGGTGACAAGTGCAGATGTCCACATGTCAGGGCCATTAGGGTGAACTCTGGCAACCCAGAGGAGTAAGAGCAAGATGTCACCTCTGGTCCCTTCCAAGCTGAGAGTCACGGCTGGAGGTGGCAGAGGAAGGCCGCGGACAGCAGGAGGTGAGAGGCCCTAGAAGCCCTGGGGAGGGGGTCCCCCAAAGGGGAAGATGAGGATACCAAGACAGAAGGGCTCACATTAGAGCAGAGAGAGGGCTTCTTCCAAATCTCTTCCTCAGACCTTTGAAATATAAACTCTGTCACCAAATGATCTTTCTCCTGCATTCAGGGAAAACCAGGTTTCAGACCCACTCAGCTGCCTGAATTCAGTCTGGAAGGTAGAGCTCTTGGCTTGAGACCAAGAATTTTAGTCATTTTCCTCCGAATCTATTAACTGACAGCCAAATGTTCATGTTTTCAGAAGAAGAGCAGTTCCCTGGATGCTTTAGGAGAATGGAAGCAAAAACATGGATTTGATAACATTTGTGGTTCTGTCAGAAGTCCTGAGATGATCATGGGGAAATTTTACCTTATCTTTGAATGTTGGGGAAAAAAAAGGTCTCAATTATAAGTAAGCTTTAGCCAGATGCTTCTCAAACTTTAATATGCCCTGGTACCACCCAGACATCTTGATAAAATGTGGATTCTGGCTCAGGAGGGCTGGAGTGGGGCCTGAGAGTCTGGTTTCTAACAGGCTTCCAGGTGATGTCCATGCTGCTGCTGGTTGGGGACCACACTTTGAACGAGAAAGTGTGTG